TTTCTAGATGTTTGAACAAAGTGATTTGCGTTTTACTAGCTACAACATATTTTTCAATTTCGTGTAGGTCTTACGGTGAGTTCAAATGATGCCTTCATTGACTTTTCAAATTAAAAGGATATGAACCATCAGTCAAAGAGTCCGACCATCTATTAGTGTATCTACTTTAACAGAGAGAAGAGGCACAGCCAGAGAGTTTAACCCAAAAGTAAAATTATAAAGGGAATAATATGAATCTAAAAAGGAATAAAACAATCAGTCGTTTACATGGATTAAGTTATAACATATACTGTGCTCAAGTGAGTAATTATAGCCCAATTCTAACATGTGTGTTGGCTCTCCAACAGAGTGATGGACGGCACGCTACCTGGAAGAATAAAAAAAACTCTAAATGTCTCTCAGCTTTGAATCCTGGGAATTAAACTATGGCTGGGTTGCAATTTCAAATAGGATCAGGTCATCCGCCCCTAATCAAATTGTCCTCTTGAGAAAAAAAAACAGCTAAAAGCAGGTCAAGAGCTGAACCTCCTTAAGATTGACAATCCTTGACTTTGTTGAGAGGAGGGAACACTTGAGAGTTTTTTTTTTTAACCCAGTCCTGCCTATTTACACGGGCAGAGGGATGGAAGTGAAACCAGTGTGAGCTTTGATGAGCGGGAAGTCGGTTTGGGTAAGAGTTGTGTCCACATTACTTGGTCCAGATTACTTGGACCAGAGTGGTTTGAAGCTGCTCCTGGTTCCTCTGGTAATTCTGGACCAGTTCATAGCTGATTGGGAAAAAGCTACGGCCTGAGGCCTCAATCTGCAGCTGGCAAAAAGGTGGAAAGCGTTTCTGGATTGGAGGAGTCCGACAATAACCACCGATTAGAGGCTATCTCTGTAAAACACACCAATTCTGAAAAGAATTTAAAAAATTAATAAAGTCGTGCAATTTTCTTTCTTCTCAAGACCACATTTGCATAGTTAATGGCCCTCACTGCACTGTTAGATAGAAAAAGAGTTTATAGTTCCAGTCCTCTGGCCTTTAAGTGACTCTAACTGAGAACTTTCCATTGTTAAAGCCGTTGTAAACTAGCAACTGTGGGTCTTACAGGGCTAGTATTTACTGACTGGAAGTCGTTCTTAAACTCTATTGTTCACTATCAACACTGAAAATAAATTCATATCAGTGGTATTATTAGTTTAGTTATAATTTATAATTATTTAGTTATTATTTATTATTATTTAGTTATTATGTATTATTATTATGTTATTATTTAATATTATTTAGTTATTATGTATTATTATTATGTTATTATTTAGTTATTTGCTCTGGATATGTGATGATATCCACATGACAGATTTTTCTCCTTCACTTGTAATACCATTTTATAAAATGTTGGTGCCAAGTCCGTCCAGAATTCTTTGTAGAACTAACCCTAACCCTAACCCTAACCCTAACCCGGAAAACCATCTGGTCCTGGTGCTTTATTACTATATTGTAGGGCTTCATGGAGCTCTCTTATTGAGAGAGGTGAGTCCAGATCCCTGGTCTGTTCAGATTGTAATTTTGGAAGAGTCATATTACTAAGAAACTGATCTATTTCGCTATCCTGCGGATTATTTCGAGAGGTATATGATGTTTTATAGAAGTCTGTAAAGGTTTTATTTATTACGTCAGAGTCGTGGGTAATATTTCCTTCTGAGTCTTTATCCCTGTAATGCCAAATGTATCATATTTGATACATACGGTTTCTGAAATGTTTTGCATCTGACACCTTTAGCATAATTTAATGGTAAAAACTTTGCTCAAAATCCTATTGTACACAATCAGATACACCTGATAACAGGGGGCAGAAGACTACACAAAAAATAATCTCGACTTATCGCATAGTAATAAATTATTAATATTAAAAATGTATTTCTATTTTTTCTTTTTAAATATTTTGTTAAAAGGCCAAATAAAGACTTCAAACAAAAAAAAAGTCATTTTCTGTTTTGTTTTATTCTTGGATCAGGCTTTAAAGGGCTAACTAAGATAATTCTTGTTTTGTCTTTGTTGGTCTTTAACCAAGAATCTTCCGGATTTATTGCAATGCTCAAAGTTTATTTAGAGAATGATTTTTCTAAATGGCTCTAAAGGTGGAGCGCACGTCGTTATTTCGGTGAATAAGGTTTTCTCTTCTGACAGAATAGCACCCCCCCCCCACCCCCCCTCGGGTAGGGGGAGGGTTCTGCCGGTTGAAAGAGATCTAAAGCCTTCTAATTGTAGGAGGTGTGTTGATGAAAAGGATTTTGTGTCCAGCATGTGTCTGTGTCTGTCCCACCGATTTTCTTCCAACCCCTCAATTAAACATCAGCTGTCAAACACACATCCACCGGGTCTCCCGGCAGATACTTAGCAGATCAGGAGATGTTCCACGTTCCACCATTTTCCATGTCAAAACAGCCCCGGAGAAAGAAAAAAAAAAAAAAAAAAAAAAAAAAAAAAAAAAAAAA